AACTTTAATAACTTTTTTCATCCTAGGTAAAAGAATCTGTTTCTAAATTTAGCCGAATGGAAATCCGCAGAAACAGCTCCATGCAGGTATTGAATTAATTAATGACTTTTGCACCTTCTAATTAGGACATTCTGTTGCTATGGGACTATTGCTATTAAAATTTATCGCTGACACGAAGAAACAAATCAGGCCCTAGAGCTAGAGAATTAGGCTTGAAAATACAGGGGGAGTTACTTCTAAATGAAAAAGACACAGAGACCTGTTAAATGACATTCTCTTAATAGAGGAGTAGCTTGTTCAAGGTAAAAAGACACAGACCTATTAAATGACATTCTCTCAATAGGGTAGTAGCTTAGAAAAAAAGAAAAAAACCGCAAGGTGACTAAGCAGAGCGACGGAACGATCCGCATAATACTAGCCTATTTTCGCCCGATTCCACTGAGCGTGACGCTGGCCTCAGCTTCTTGTGGCGAAAATATATATTTTTTTTCTAGAGAGAAAACTAGAGGGAATGTAATTTTTTACAAAATTTTCCCCCTTCCTTTTTACTCTTTTGGATACTAATACACTGGAATGCTATGTAATGTTGATGAAGAGTAATTCTTTTGCAGGAGGCGATAACTTTGTTTGAAGACTTCACTGATCAGTATATAAACATTTCGGAATCCAGTAAAGACAAACTCGGTATAGGAGAGATTAAAACAATAAGAGAATCCGTCTTTAGAGTGGCAGTTGCCTTCGAGGAATTTGCTCTTAATTACGGTAAATACCATCTGAGTGGAAAGGAGCCTTCAAAAAAGATCATACGCGACACACACACACACACACACACACACGCACACACACCGCGCACACACACCACGCAATATATATGCACACACACAGTCACACACATACACACGCACACACACAACCAAAAATTAAAAAAATCATAAAAACTTTGGCTGCTAGTTAGCTGAAATTATATTCTCGTATTGGCCGGAGTTGCGTTTTATGTCGCGATCTATAAAGCAGAAGGATACACAGTAGTCAAACCAAGGAGTGCCTAGCGATAGTTAACATTGTTTTCTGCCAAAAGTATCAGTGGGAGCAGTATTTCAAAGACAATGTTTTATTGAGGGCTTTGGAAAGATTTTGTTGATATCGATGTCACAAATAATTGCCTTGAGCAAAGGGTATGAGCGCTATATAAATAACCAAATGTGGAGGCATAAAATTATTCATTCTGAGCTTTAGGTCTAAAGACTTATTTAAAATAATGTACCATCCAACGGCGATGTTTCCATGATTAATTTTCGTTGCTGTTAATGTATGGCAAATAATTCCAAATAAATGAAAACTCCTCCTCCTTTGGATTTTCATCTGTCCTGGCAAATTTGTAATGACCCCAGCAAGATCATTTTTTAAGCCTACCTGTGAATCTCACTTCAGTACTGTGGTGTCAACTAATAATTAATGACTTTCAGCCAACACAGTCCTTGAAATTGAGGCAGCAAACCGTTCTGATTTGATTTCGTATCTCTCTTTAACCCTTTCCCAGCAAACAAAACCGTATAATTTGGCCATACAAAACTTAAGCTCACTTTGTTTGTCGTTATATGAAGTATCCCTTACAATATTTTGCGGTTTTTCTACACCATGGGCTCAGAATTTGGAGTCATGTGACGTAGATCAACCGCTCGTGTTTGGATGCGTTCAAATCGATTTGTTTTCCCGCGTTTATAAGTGTTTTTCGAGCCATTTTCCCTCTACAGAAGCCCTCAGGACAGCATCATTAAGCTTGAACGTGGGTAGAGGCAAGCCTCTGAAAGAAAACAGAGGTGAGAGGTGGTTTCATGTAGACTGGAGCGCCAAAATTCTTTCACGCAAGTTTGGCGAGTTCACAAGTGAAGTCGTCTCTCTGGCCTTTCTGTAGATGGCTACTAGGACCTACCAACTCAAGTAGTTTAAGGCCTGGGTTTTATCTTGGTTTGAGACCCCCAGCAGAGTTTCAAGACTTAAAAAAATGGCGGCCGTTACCGCATGGCGCGTTTGAAGTTTAGATCAGAGAGCCTTTACACTTTTGGAAGGCGAACATGGATGTATCTACCGAAATTTTTTTAGAAGACGTTGTTTTAGTGCAGATGTGAGGTCTACAGCTGAGGTGAGTGGTATTTTTGTGTTTCATTCGGCAAATTAGCTCTAATTTGCCGTAGCTTCCATAATGCTCTGAGGCGTAAATCCAAATAACGAACGTTTCATTCAAGGAAATCGNGTCAAAAGGTGCTAAGTGCAGGACTGGTTTTTCATTTCTATGAGAGATAAAGCTGTTGCTACATGTATTTTATGGCAAGGTATATTATGCTATGTACCCTAAGAGATGGATGTATTATTAATCATTATTATATTATGGCCGTGTCTCACAAGGACTGGGAACTACCAAATTCACAAATTTGATTGGCTGAAATCAATATTGAAAGCGGTCTAGATTTTCCCATCTAGACTGGCATCTAGACCGGTCTAGGAAAAAAAGGTACAAAAATTATACACAGCCATATAATAAACATCTTATTACCGTATTTCTTCACCTATAAGCCGATCTCGGCTATAAGCCGAGACCCTGACTTTCAGGGTCTTTACGCTACACTCAAGCTGCCCAAAAAAAAAGGTAAAACCATCGGCTATAAGCCGAGAGCGAAATTATTGATTGTAACTGGCCATTTGAGCAAGCGAACCTCACGGAAAACATAAGAAATTGACTCACTAAACACAAAACCTAATGAATTACAATAAACACAAAAGAAAAAAAGCGAACCAATCAAGAGATATGAATATCAATTGATCCAACGAACTGTATAAATACTACCACGCGACAACAGATTAACCACAACAACAATAATAATCTCAGTTAAACGTTTCAAAGTATCAATCTATCGAGTATACCTTTCGTCGCTGTCACTTTTTATCATCATGCCTAAAGCACGCCGTTCCTCGTATAGTATGGCTTTCAAGATAAAAGTTATCGCGGAAGCTGAAGCGGTAGAAAACAACTCGGAAATCGCTCGAGAATATGGACTAAGCGAGTCCATGGTACGACGCTGGAGAAGAGACCAGGCGACTATTCTTTCCGGAGAGCTGAAGATGTCTGCAAAACGTGCGACGATGGGCCGTTTCACTCCGAAATATCCCGAACTAGACCAGCAAGTGATGGAGTGGTTTTCACAGCAAAGAGAACAAGGTTGGTATTTACTTTTCTGTCTAAAATTTTAAGAGTTTTTGAAGAGTTGAATGATATCGTCTTTCAGTGCGTGGGAAACAGAGACTTTGATTGGTCAGAAATATGTTGTTGTCATGACAATTTCATAACATGTCACGAAAAGAGTGCTGCAGTCACGAATCTACGGTTATCTCGCAGCAAAATAAGATTGTTATTTTATTTTTCGTAGGTATTGCGGTGAGTGGATTGATCCTTCGCCTTAAAGCTAAAGAGCTCTCCGATGATCCTGCTTTCAAAGCTTCCCGTGGATGGTACGAGAAATGGAAACGACGCCACTCGGTCAGCATGCGAACCAAAACAACTCTGGCCCAGCGATTGCCCGCCGATCTCGAAGAGAACATTGTGTGCTTTCATCGCTTCGTCATTGCAGCAAGAAGACGCGCCGACTACCCTTTATCCCGCATCTACAACATGGATGAGACACCCATGCGTTTTGAGCTGCCATCGAACCGAACACTGGAATTCAGTGGAAGCCGAACAGTGCCAGTAAAATCTTGCGGAGCGGAAAAGCGGAGCTTCACCGTCGTTCTTGCTGTTGCTGCCGATGGAGCAAAGGTGCCACCGAAAGTCATCTTCAAAGGCGTCCGTACACCGAGAGATCTGGTTGTGCCGCATCCTCTTCGTGTTTCCTTCCATAAGAAAGGGTGGATGGATGAACAGGGCATCCGAGAATGGATTCGACAGAGTTTGCCCCGTGCCGAGCGTTCCCTTTTGGTGTGGGACTCATTCCGAGCTCACTTGACCGATTCCGTGAAAGATGACCTGAAGCAGCGAAACATTGACGTCGCAGTTATCCCTGGTGGCCTAACCCCGGTTGTACAGCCCTTGGATAAGTGCCTAAACAAGCCATTTAAAGATAATGTGCGCCGAAAGTACTTGGCGTGGATGACATCTGGGCCATTTGAGTTTACCCCAGCTGGGAAGAAGAAGGCGCCAAGCAGAAATCTTGTCCTCAGGTGGATCAAGGAAGCATGGGCAGAGATACCCGAAGAGATGGTTGTCAAATCCTTCAAGACCTGCGGTATTTCCAATGCCTTGGACGGAACAGAGGACGACGTGGTCTACTCTGAGGAAACCCCAGAAGTAGATGATGAATACATAGAAGAGAACGAGTTCGACACAGACAGCGAAAACGAAACGGATGGCGAGTAAACCATTGGGTTGAAAGCCCTTGCACGTATCCGTCAAACGGCTCCTTTAGGAGCCACCAATTTCATAAAAGTGAATAACCAATATTCAGAAGTTATTTTTGTTGTGTTTTATTACTTCTGCTTCATTGCTAACTTGACTACAAGCCGGGGGGGTAAAGTTATTCAGCAACTGTATATTTTTAAAATGTAAAACCCTCGGCTATAAGCCGAACCCCGTTCTCCGTGAAAAATCTCCCAAAATTTTGGGTCGAAAACTGAAAAAATCGCTCGGCTTATAGGTGAAGAAATACGGTAAACGGTTCACTGCAATGGAAATCGGGAGCCATTGTGGGTGTTTTAGGCTGCAATAGGTGTCACATCAAACAGCTTTGCAATGTACACAGTTACATAATGTTGTCTCATAATTTCAACAAGAAACAAATCACAACAGCAGTCGTGCAAATTTAAATGATGTATGCGTGGCTTAATAGAAAAGGGTTAAAAGAAAAAAAACTTAGAAAGGATGGCGACACTGATTATCCTTATTATTCTTTTATTGTTGTTTTGTTTTGTTTGTTTGTTTGTTATATTTTCTTCAAATATTGCTTTTCCAGGATATGCCAGACTCGACCAAGATATCTGCGATTCCCGCGAAAACCCATGTTCAAAGAAATGTATCAAGGAGGAAGAAAGCTGTGACCAACAATGCCAAAAAGGCAACTACAGCTGTTCTCTTGACTGCAACGGGAAGATTTGCAATCAAGGTTGTGACGCTGAAAGATGTAACCTTGAGTGCCACAGTGAAAACTGTGTTCAAAAGTGTAACAGTGACGTAAAAGAATGCATTATGTATTCCGACGCGAGTAAAGGTGAACAGACGTGTGATGCTAAAGTATGTGTCATGACAGTAAGCGCATCAAGCGATGATACACTAGAACAGAAATGCAACGGGGTTGTCGCAAGATGCGAGGCACAATGCTACGTGGTTGGCGGTAATTGTAAGCAGCATTGTGACGCTGGAAGATGTAATCTAGATTGCAGCGGGAAAGAGTGTGATCAGAAATGCAATGGTGTAGTGAACGAATGCAACATGCAATGTAATGCTGGTATATGTAAACAGACGTGCGACGCTAAGGAATGTCACATTACAGGAAGTGCAATCCACGATATACCCGAGCAGAAATGCAACGGAGGAACAGATATCTGCGATGCACAATGCTACGTGAGTAGCGGTAGATGCTTGCAACATTGCGATGCTAAAAAATGTAATCTGGAATGCTGTGGGAAAGAGTGTGATCAGAAGTGCAACGGGGGAGTAGATGGATGCAATATGTATTGCACCACAAATGAGTGTGAACAAAAGTGCGACGACGCTTGCTCCTGTAACGGGACAAAAATCCAGCCAGTCAATTCACTCGCTGAGCAGAAGTGCATCTCAATTTTCAATTACAGGACTTTATTTACGCCAAATGTTATTGCAAGTGCCTCAACTACAACAACTGCAGTCATCAAAACTCAACCATCAACTACACAAGGTAAAGTAACTTACCAGACCTTTAGTGGGTACCATTTCAACGATAACAGACCTTGAGTAACTGTTTAAAAGTGCCCCCTTTATCAAAATAAGATATCTTCATTGTAAATGCGATTAAAGTCTAACCGTAAAGTTTACCGTTTAGGAATTACGAGTGAAGACGAACCATAAAGTTAACCGTTTACTCTTAGACGAGGCACCGTGAGGTGAACTGAAAATTCAGCACTAAACTATCGAGTTCATATCGAATTCAGCTTGAATTCAGGTAAAAACTCGGTGGCCCTCGTGGTCTTTTCTCGAAGGCCACTCACGCGCATACTTGAAAGTCAAGCGCCTCCGCAGGGGACCCAGCCGGGGAACGTGAAGCCCAGCGGTAACATTGATAGTCAATTCCCAAGTTTCTTCCATTCCATGAGAGCTTTCTGATATTATTTTAGATTGCATTTCGATAAAGAAATTTTGCTTTAACATACAGCTCCCTTGCAATCACCGTATTGGTCGCCATCACCATTCTCATTTCTCTTACCATCATCGTTATTATCATTGTCATCGACTTTCTCATTATCGTTATCATCATCATCGTCTTCGTCGTCCTCCACATTATCGTCGTCATTATCACCACGGTCACCGTCATCATCATCATCATCATTGTCACCACAAAATCCATCGTCAACGTAATTATCATCATCCCACTTATTTCCATTAACATCTTCGACATTGTTGTCGTCGTCATCATTATCATCATCCTCATTGTCGTTCACATCGTCAACACCACTGTCATCGTCGTTATCTTCGTCTTCATCGTCATTGTCAGTATCATCATCCTTTGTCATCATCCTTACCTTCGTTTTCATCTTCGTTACCAGCTTTATCGTCATCTTCGTCAATATCATCATCACCATTACTATCCCTGTCATCATCGTCGTTTTCGTCCTCGTCGTCTTCATCGTCATTGTCATCGTCATCTCTGACTTGCACAAGTCCATCATTGCCGCTGGTAACAATCGAGAGTCTGGTAGGTATCGTAATTTAATTTTTTTTTTTGCTTTTATTATTTCCTTAATCTATGGCGTTAGTTAACGTTGTTTTGTTTTTTTTTACCTAAGGGAAACGAATATGTTTTTAGACTTTATGGAATAGACATTAGCAGAGAAACTTCCCTCAAGGTATCTATCACCATACATTTAATATATCAATTATTTAACTAGATAGCGTGCTCATTATCGTGAAAGTGACCATCTTAATGTGAACGCGTAGGAGTTTAAGAGCATTATAAGAATCTAGTGTAGACGCGTTACTCTTCGAAATGTCAGGAGATCTGAGACTTAAACAGTTTTCGAGTTTCTTTCGGGAAAACAACGATTTTCTTCCCAAGATACATTTTATTAAGTAGCTAGGAATACAGCGTCCTAAGCAGGCACAAGTCATCGATGTTTCTTCTTCCTTGTTAAATAGCATACTAAAACGAGAGAAGGAAGGGAAAAAAAAAAGGAAACGAACAAACAAACAGAAACATAGAAGTTAATGTCTGCTAGGGTCTATCTTTCTTTAATTCATTTTTCTTGTTTGTTATTTTTTTTGCCCGTGTTGTTGTTGTCGGCTTTTTCTCTTTTTTGTCCTTGCTCGTGAATTTGTCTTTGAAGCTTTTTTGGTCTTTGTTGTTTTGTTTTTCTTTGTTGTTGTTGTTGTTTTTGCTTTTTTTCGTGAGAGATCTGAAATGTTAACTCAAATTTGCGTCACTGTTTATACAAAACAAGTCCAACGTGAAATGCACCTTTTTAAAGGGCTGTTTACCTTATTCAACCCTCCTGCAGAAATTCAATTTTCATTGCGTTTACAACATTATTAGATACTGAAAAACTTGAAGTTAATGTATGATAAATGATAAATATTTATGTAATTACAGGAGGCAATGATTTTGTTTGAAGACTTCGCCGATCTGTGTCAGAACATAACAAAACGTATCATAGGCCAACTTTGTAAGGAAGAAATAAAGAAAAGAACAGAAGCCATCTTTCAGGTGGCAGTCGCCTTCGAGAAATTTGTTCTTAAGTACAGCAAGTACCACTTGAGTGAGGCAAGACCTTCCAAAAAGATGACCGACCAAAAAATGGGTGAGTTAGAACCCGAGATCCATTTCACATTTGTGCTTTTTTGTTACTTTGGATATTTTGCATCTTAATGATTTTTCGCTGTTTTTATTCTTAACAATTATTCACCAAAGTGGCGGTCAATATCTATCACTATTCACCGACTCTAAGGGGTATCAATCTTCTAGTATATTCCGCGCAGATACCGAAAAAATGGTCGGAAATTAAACTCTGGACGCGCAGTTTGGTCTCTTCTTTTGCTCAAGGGTGAATAATGCTTGCTATTCACTTCCGAACTAGCCAGTTGCCCGGCGTTAAAACCACTTTTCACTTATGTGGCGTATAGTAATTAAGGATATCTGTAGAGAAATTATATTCTCCTGCATCTTATGAAACCCAATTATATATGAGTAATCTTAGTTCGATTCTTTCTAAATATATACCTTTAAATCTTTATTAAATTCTTAGAAAACGCGCACCCACACATACGTTATCACTGTGTCACTTATCTTCTGCTCCTTTCGGCAGCTGTGGGTATTCAATTAGGCTACCGCCAAAATACAAGTGACTTCCTTCTCAAGAAAGAGGAATGGCAAGCCAGCATCAATATATCTTCTGCAAATTTTGCCGAGAATGGTTTGTATTAACCATCTGTTTATCGGTCTGTTTCATGCAGTATCAAAATGCTCTCGATTTCTTATTTATTTAGATAGTAGTTCTACGGTTTCCCTTATTAACTGGTAAAATTGTGTTTGGTAGTAATGGTGAAAGTTGATATTCTTCTCGTATTAGTTTGCATTTTGATGAATATTTAGAGCGAAAGAACAGCAAACGCGCAGACTGTTCTGGTATTTTTATGATGTCCAAATCAAGCAGAAAAAAAACAATAGCAAAATGGGCAGCTAAGATAATAATTGCTAGCAGAGTGTTGGGGTCTGTTCATTATATGACATATGATGCAATATCCAGTGTAAAAGTAACAATTGCTTGGCTTGGTTAGTTAAGCATTAATGTAGGAGAGTCAAACATTTAGAGTCTGTTTTAATTTTCGAAAATGTCTTGGGCAAGATTCCCGAAGGAACTCGAATTTCATTAAACATAAATCACCTTTCAAGATTAAGAGTTCGCTTTGTGGCATATACCAATGCAGTTAATTTTCACATATTTTTTTGTTTTCTGTTTCCTTTTCAGGATCAGTGATCGTGGGATGTGTGTACAAGGATCTTCACGAACTACTGCTGACACATCAATCTGTTGGGAATGAAATTGACAATACAAGGTAAGCTTGATGCATGAAATTTTTGAGAACTGGTTCAAGTTTAGCATATCTGCTTTGAGTTATGTTCCATGACGTAGGGAATTCAGCCGATCAGAATAAAGCTTTGTTTCCTAAATTTTAGGACAATTGCACTAGAAATAAATTATTTTTCTTACTATTAACTTTTAACAGTGGAGACAGACATATCATAAAGGCACTTATTTTTAATAACGAATATGGGATGTTTGATTCAAGGTTACTTTTAGCAATACCTCGTCAAAATTTGCAAAATTTCTCTTTTTTTTTTGCTCTTTGGTTAGAGAAATCATCTTTGTTACATTTGTCGCAGGAAAATATACTGAATCTTAAAAAAAGCGACCAACGGCCTAATGAGTGCCAGTTTAGGATAGCTCGTACCAAATATTGAAAGGTGTAATGATCCGGGATAGGCTCGTCAGCAGGGGTGACGTTTTGCGCGGACTTTTGTTCAGGATCTCAATTTGCACTCGACTACGTCTTGTGTTTTTCCCTACACTTCGTTCGTCCTCTGGCCGCTTCCGCGTGCTTTATAGTAGAACAGAGCACAGTCACGGATTGTTAAATAGGTTATGTTTTTGATGAAACTTGGATAGAATATTTGTCAGATGTTATTGCGGAAAAGGGTGTGACGCCTTTACGAACATTTTCCTGTGACTTCTCAGCGAGATATTTCCTATTGTACAACTTCAAAATAGATTTTCTTAGAAACCAACTGAATGATACAGTCCAGTACGTTTGGATGTCCACGGTAACTCGAGGGCTTGTAACTCAGTTAATCAAATACCGTTAGTTGACTGTAAAGGCCTGCACGTTCCTATTAAAAAGAGGACTCAGTTTTTTTTTATTTTTATTTTTATAATTTATACTTAATAAGCTTAGCATTGATAATTTTTAGTAAAATGTTCGTCACAGGTTTGTGAACACCAGGATAATGACCGCAGATATGGATCCTAAGCCGGAAAAATTACAACAAGATGTTATCTTGAAATTCAGAAGCCTGGAGGTAATTAGTCTTTTAGAGCACTGAGATAACTTCAGTCCTTTGTTTATGTTGTGTTGACTTGATTCAAATGAAATAAAATCTATTTTCAGGTCGTGGAGGAAGAAAAACGTTGCATGTTTTGGAGCGGCTATAGCAAGAGGTAAAATGCATATACATGGAGTAATTTAATTTTAAATTTAGTTTTTTCTTCAACGTCCAAAATGAAATTAATACCATGGAATTCTTTTTTCTGTTTGTCTGTCACTGCCAGAGATATTTTGTTCCTGAAATTAATGTTTATCATATATTTTACCTATAAAGAATACGGTGAGAATATCTTGACCGTCCAAATGTACCTAAAAAAAAACAAGCCCTTCTTCAAATAGGCCTTTAAACACTCTGCTTGTTGGAGACTCCAATCCCTTACTTAACATATTTTTTTTTCATTTGTCATATTCATTAACTTTTTTTTAAGTCCAGACGGGTTCACAAGTGAGGGCTGTCATGTAGATTCAGCGAAGAGCAACTCAGTGGAAACAGTTTGTAGATGCAATCATTTGACTTACTTTGCGGTCTTAGTTGACTTTGACAGTGGTGACAAAAAGGTATTTTTCAAAATTATTTCTGTATTTTCGAGTGTACTTACAAGTAGTTCATCCGTTTGGTCAATTGATTAACTCTTTATTTTTTGTTTCTAATTTCTAATACAGCTCACCAAGAAGGACGGAACTATCCTGGAGACAATCACTTACGTAGGATTAAGCCTTTCCATCATCGGGATGCTTTTGACAATCATCCTGTATTCTTTCCTCACGTAAGCACTGCTACCAGACAATCAGTTATGACTTTGAAGCTGATTCAATAAGGCAGGCCAAAACGCGCAAAAAATGATTTAAAAATTCACTATTGGCAACTGCGATTTGAAAAAGCTTGGTGCTTATGGGATTGGTTAATAAGTGACTTAATTCCGTAAAATATATGTGCGTTACTGACCAAGCAAGAGCCTAAGATTGCTGGATATTGGCCGAGGTCTTTTTTATACGTTTTTATGGATGCAAAAAAGAGCAAGGGATCTAAGCTCGGGTAGCCGATCTATAAAAAATTTCATGAGGGACGAGTATCACATATTATCAGTGACAATATAGCTCATCTACTTTCAATTCCTTTAATTTATAATGGACATTTAAAAAAATAAACGTAACTAAGAAAGAGCAATAGCGTTCCTTCCAACTTCTTTGCAACCAAATACACCGGGAATGTTGAATATCTAATTCATTTGTTGGTATATTTTGTGTTTATTGTATGTTTGTTTTTTTCCCTTGACTTCAAGTTTGCTTTTGATCAGTATCACTGACTTATCTTGTTCTCCTCTTTGGTTTTTTTTCTTTATTTTTGTTCCTTCGTCAGGGATGTTCGTCAACCTCTGTCACAAATACGTTTAAGTCTTTCTGCGTCCCTCGGAGCTGGACAAATGATCTTTCTCGCCGGGATAAACGCCACAGAAAATATCGTAAGTTGCATGTTGCCACATTCACTGACGAAATTGTCTTTTTTGACAGCCGGAGAATGTACTTCTGTGTTCTTTCTCTCTTTCTTTAGGCTGCCTGTATCACAGCGGCAGCTCTTATGCAGTATTTCCTGATGGCCGCTTTCTGCTGGATGCTGGTCGAGGGGATTTATCTCTACCTGTTTGTTGTAAAGGTGTACAAAATCAACACCAAGATGCACATGTATCACGTCATGTCATGGGGTATTTATGAATATTTATCGCCTTATTTGGTTTATGATTCCCCGACATACAGTGCATTCTTCTGTCTTTCTATTTGAAGGCCTTCCTATCGTCATGGTGGGCATTTCACTCGGCATCGCAACTGGAAAAGATGGACTCCAAAGCTACACCAGTGATAAATAGTAAGAAAATCATTAGCTTCTGCTGGGGATTGCAGATGGTTTGAGCTGAGGTACCGTTTCATCAGCTGGAAATTTTCTTTGCTTCCTTTTTTTCTTTCCTTTTCTCAAGTTGCTGGTTGTCTTCGACTAATAAGCTGATCTGGATTTTTGTGACATTTGTGGCGTTTATCGAATCAGTAAGTTTATGAAAAATTCATGTCGTATGAATGTTTTTGACTCGCATACTCGGAGATCTTTGTCTCACACTCGTGAAAAATTGACTATTATGTTTATTTTGATCGACGTCCATTTTCCAATACAAAGTTTTAACGCATTTCTTTTTCAGCTCAACATTTTGATACTTGTGCGAGTCATAAGGGAGATTACTACACTTGTAGAACCATTAGCGGAAGACAACTACGGGAAGCAAATAAGGTATGTTTTGAAATATCACACACCAAAAAAAAAAAGAAAAATTTTTCCAAACTTAATTGAGACTTCCCATTGAGTTTTCCAGCTCCTCCTCTGGGATCATTGGGGATCGTGGAGAGTCAAAATCCACTGTTTTCCCCGGAGCGAGCCTTAATTGCTCGGTATTACCTTGCTCCATGATACTCGCTTACTTCCTTATCATACGGAATCTGTGGCTTATCTAAAATTGATAAATAAATGTGAAGAAGATAAAGAAAAGGCTAACTCTCATACCGTGTTAGAATTGTTCTCATCTTTTAGACTTGGCGTTAAAGCGGGCGTGGTGATGATTCCCCTCCTGGGTGTCACGTGGCTGTTTGGCTTTCTGTCACCATTGCACAAAGTTTTCACCTACATTTTTACCATCCTTAACTCGATACAGGTTAGCGTTAACTTTGGGATTTATGAAATTTAATTAATCACGCTTGAAAGAACAGATTTACAAATCCCTCAGTTGTCATGGTCTGACATTTTAATTATGGCAAGATCGAATCGGTCCTAAAAAAGGAAAAATAACAAAGGAGAAATAAGAAATCAGTAATTACTCTGTATAATCATTTATGATACAGAATCTCCTGCCATTTCTATGCCATTTATTGTAATTCATAAACGTTTGAATACTACTACCACATCTATACCAAAGCTTGGGGGCNTTGAAGATATCAATATTACACAATTGACATTTTTTTCGCTTGTCATCAACAGATTCAAGAGCGATTTAAAAGAAAGCTGAACACTGTTTTTCCATCTGTATATACTGGAAACTCCACAACGAAGGGCTCACAAATCAATCCGAATTTTTTCGGCGATGTGGGGGCAGCTGAGTTACAGTCTTGCCCCGAATTTGAACTGAAATAATATTCAAATAACCGAGCTTAACACGTCGAGACTAGCCGTCGAATGTTTAATGCGATTGTCAGTTTAATCTGTCGGCAAAGTCAGGTCGTTTTGCTCGGTTCGTTGGCTGTCGGAGTAATTCCTTTGCTGTGTGACAGTCATAGTTGGCACTACTTATGAACAGTCTATACCAATGTAAGCCAGCTTTTGAAAGTCAGTAATCCTTGAGGTTTTTCAAAAATTGATCAAACGCAGAAACGCTTAGTTCTATCTTTAATCATTGAATAAAGTAACATGGAGACTTTCGCTAAACCAATCCAAGGAAACGGTTCATTCATTGTTAATATCCAAACCAATCGAAAGAAATGGTTCAATCATTGTTAATATCTAATCAGAGGCCAGTTGTCACCCCTTCGCTTAGCGGTAGGGGCTTAATTGTTATTTCAATGACTTATTTCCAAAGGGCTCAAGGCTACTCTAGATGTGGTGTGCCCTCGTCTCGTGCATTTTGGGACTTGCTTGTCCTTAAACATTATTTTGTTTATCTCTAGCAGTCTTTTGGTTTTTAAATCATTAGTACTATTAACTTTAATTTTTTAGTTCTTTCTTTTGAAATCTTTAGTGCTAAATATTTGCTCTTCTTACACGCGATGGCTCAGTATTTCACCCTTTAAGTATTGAATAAACACGTGGCCTCCTGTTAGACAGTTTGTTGTTATTGTAGTAATAGCAGCTGTAGGAAAGACTTCTATTTGAAAAAATAAATGAATGAATAATTGAACATTTAAAGTGAATCTCCACACTTTTTGGAGATAACTATCAAAATGTTTCAAACGTACTTTTCAATAGGTCTGGCACAAAAAAGTTGTCTTATTAGGCAATGCGATATTTTTTTTTCTTCTTCTTATTGCTTTCCAAGAAGGTTCTAGCAACCACTTCGAGTTTCCCGCGAATAGTGCGCAATGCACCCTGGGCTGAAAGCGTGTTTCTCTAGTCAGAGATTCTTTTGTGCAAAAGGTTAAAGCAATAAAACCAATGAAGTACTTACCTGTAAATACTTTGGAAGAGATTTTTTTTCCTCTTTGGAATCGATATATCCGAAAGCAGCGAGAATTATTTTCAACCTTGATTTGTCTATTTCTGATGTTAAATGTCTTTTGAATTCTCCGTTACGACCCATCACCAGCTCTATCAACTGTCCTACTTACCAAGTGTCTAAACATCTAGCTTCTATCCTGAGCCCTCTACAAAGCAACAAGTACACTGTTGCAAATAGCAGCGATTTTGTGAAAAAAGTCTCGGTTTGTAACATCACCACGCAGGAAACTATGGCATCTTTCGATGTGATATCCCTCTTCACATCTATACCAACAACTTTGGCGCTCGAGGTGACTAAAAACAAACTTCAAGCTGATCCGACCACCTCGGAAAGAACAAACATGTCTGTTGACAGCATCATGAATTGTCTTGAATTTTTACTTGATAACAACTACTTCATCCTTGATGGCACTTTCTAGAAACAAGTATTTGGCTGCCCAATGGACTCACCTATGAGCGCAATTTTGGAAAATTTGGTTTTGGAACACAGCGAAGAGAGAGCTCTAGTCGCCACACCCCACCCTCCTAAGGGGTGGTATAGATATGTTGACGATAGCCATGTCTGCATCGTTCGTGAACATCTTACAGAGTTCCGCTCCCACCTTAACTCAATTAATCAACACATCAAATTTACAGTGGAAGAAGAAAAAGACGGATCCATC